ACATTTGTTACCAGTTTTTGATGCCATTTCGGATTCCACGGTGCCATCTAGGTCATCAAGAACTAGCATACTGAGAGCACCTTCGACGGATGCTCGCTGCAGTACTGGCATTCCGAACCTGTAGGAGCAGTTATTCTGGTGCAGCATGGAGCGTACTTTACATCTACTCACCTTGAACTGCAGCAGATATTTAGTTGACCACTGGTGTACCAGAGCTAAGTCATATGGAAGAAAATTCTGATTATCTGCTTTCACCTGAATTCTGAGCCATATTATTTTATCCACAAACATTAGGAAACTTGCAGCGGTAGTTTTTACCAGTTCATTAAAATATATCAGAACTAATGGTGGTTTAAGAACAGATTCATGAGGCACACGATACTTGACTTGAATTGGATTAGCTAACAACTCTGAACTCTGAAAACTAGTTGTCGTTGAAGGACTTAGTTTACAATCCGTCTCAAGTATGGTCACGATCCCGTAACACTAATGCTTAAGAAGAAGTATTCAATGACCTAGCTGATTGAGTAGCTTAGAAAATTCCAGGTGGACCACATCAACTTCTTGTACAACGTTCATGGACTCGGTCAAACTAAGCCATGCCATTAGTAAATTAGTTTTGCACGATGATTGTCGACGGAAGTAGTGCTACTGGATAGTACTAATGTTATGGTTTTCCAGATAGCACACCGGCGTATCGGCAAACATGAGTTCCATGAACTTGAGCATTATAAGGAGAAGAGATACTGGGCAGTATTTTGGAAGCACATTACTGTTACTCTCCTTGCAAATATGAGTTATTCTTCGAAGCATCCACATAGAAAAATCCCTGGTTTGGTCCAAGCAACGCTGGAAGAATGCAGCCAATTGTTCTTCTAGTTGTCATCTTGCTGCTACCAGTAGTTATGGGCGAATAGTATCGAGACCCGGAGATCTGTGGTTGCGCAGTGACATTGGCTCCTGCATGCCAGCCACCGCAGTATACGTGACGTAGTACTGTTCCGGCGACGGGGCAATAAAAGCTAGAATATCACATAATGGGAATACCCTCTTAAATGTGAAATGTTTTGTGTCCGTTCACGTTGGAATATCAACTGTCCGAAATGGCATGTTTCCCTGTTACACCATACGGGGGCCAGTACCATGCTTGTACAGCAGTTTGTGTTTAGTGTTGAATGTTTTGCCATTTCTACTAATATGCACATCTGCTTTCTCAAAACAGTTGCGTATGTTGCTTATCTTGAGCTACGTAGTGGTTCTAACTATTTCACAGTGTTATTTTTGAACCCCATTTTTATGTGCCAGGTCGGTTGATAGTTGGTCCTAGTTTTATCCCAAGGGGTGACAGCCTACAATCTGTCTCTCTATTCAGATTAGTGGTCGTTGCAACAGAGTGGGGTAGCAGTGAGGACCTATGTAGCGATCTCTGCATATGTGACTGAATTGCCGGGAATTGAACTCCACCGGGAATCCTAGAGTTGCTGATGCAGGAAACTGGTGTTTGGTCGTTCCAACCTTGCTGCTAATAGAATTTGTTGGGACAATCTGAACTTGATCGATTAAACACTTCGGTTGATGCTTTAACCTTGCTGACATTGGTACCGCTTGAGCAGCAGTATCCCATAATGTTTGCGCCTATTTTGAAGAGATAACTGCAATGGGGACCTTGCCGAGCATGATTCGAGTGAAACAATTGGTGCACCATTGCTTCTAGTATGCGTTGCTAAGCTATTTTGGTGAATGCTTGCTTCCAGTGATTCGACTACCACTGCTAACTGTCGCAGTGTTGGACTAGGCTAAGCATGCCTTGGACGAATCACATGGTCAAACACGCAGCACAAACCCAAGGGACTTCTTAGGAGCTGTTTTGATCATTTATTTCACAATGGGCAGGGCTTATACACTTTGGATGATGCCAATTTTAACAGTATGAGCAGGCTAACCTCCGTTTGAACAATTGATTACATTCTCCGGATCCACAGTTACTCTTTGTTTTTAGCCTCTTTGCACCCGGATCTATGTACTTCTGCTACTCAGCACTGTGTTGGCAACTAACTCACTGCGCTAGTTGATGTTGTATACTTTTCAGACTATGGCCCGTCGCGAACACCAGTCAGATGAGCGATGTCGTTAGAGAGTCAAGGGAGGATGGGCTAAAGAGCGATGCGATCGCGCTGGTCGGTGGAGTTTTGTTACCCGGCTCGCTGGTTGACAAAGCGCGTGGCTATTAGCTTTAGGCTATCAATCAATCTCAGTTAACTACTAGGCGAGCAGCAACGTACGAGGAAATGCGTAGCAGCTACGGAAACTGAGATTGGTGAAGAACAATTTCTGCTTGACTTGGTTGCTTTAAGAGAGTTCTTTTGAAAAAGTTTAATTAATCTGAAAGGTGCACGAAAGCTAGGGTATTGGCCCGTTTTATCTTCAACAAAATTCTTTACACAGGCGTTTTAACGGTAAGAATAATCAGGAAGCTAAGTATACACCTTGTAAAGCTGACAACTCCGATTCAAATGAATGTGAACTCATTGGTTTGTAGCACATCTGTGCGAAATTTTCCACAAAACGGCAAGTGTTTTTGATTATTACTAACGCATGCTAGCAGTGGAAGATTCATTAAATGAACAGTACGTCGCTTTATCAGCCTGGCAAATGCATCAGTTTCCGGAGGCATTTTCAAGGCAGCAGTAAGACTGCTATGTACAGAAGAAATGGAACGTTTGAAATAACGCGCTAATCGGCAAGCGAAACGCGCTACGGTTACTGAAGACTGCTAGGTGCTTGTTAAACAAACTGCGATTTGATGCGTTTCAGTCTGTTCGTTATTTGGCGTGCTACAAGCACTGATGTGAGCTCGTGCACTAGCTGCTCGGCGGATTATTGTCAACCTGATAATGAAAGTGCTTGAGGAACAAAGTGTGTGTGCGCGTGAGACAACCCTTCAAAATTTGCGAAACTTTTACTGAGATATTTCAGTTGCTTAGCCAAGCATACGATGAAGACTGCATGAAACATATTCAGTGCCATAAATGATTCAAGCGTTCTGTGCACCGCTGAATGTAGGTCGGTGATGATACTAAGCCTGGACAACCTGCCACTTCGACGGACGCTAACCATGTCGGCAGAAGTTTTGCTGTGATCTCTTGAAATCGCCGTTGGTTCTAAAAGTGATTGACCAATTAGGCATAAGCGTAGGGTTATGCCAGCAACTTTCGAGTGGCACACTTGAGATGCGCCATGTCTGTACAAAATTCTTTCGTAGATTGATGAGTGACCATCTGAAAGGGAGCCGTACTGAACTCAACTAGGAAAGGCTTGTCAATGTGAATGACAATGAAACTACCCTCAAGCTTCACTTAACAGGCAGTGTGATGTGTGTTTATAGCCATGATTTCTTAACAATTGTACAGTCTTCACAACAGAAAAATAAATAGCCTCCTCGCCAAAGAAGCATGCATGAGTCGGTCAAAGATTAGAGTGGTCTTGGTTGCGTTTTTGTCTGCAAAGTTACACCGTACCATCGTGTGATGAACAAGGAAGTCAATTTGGTAATCCCTATGCTTTTAATGGATTCTGTTCGCAGTAACAGGCGTGAACCGTGAAAAAACCAGACTTGCATATTGCATCACAGCCATGCGCTGGCCGACGCATCGCCACTTTTCCGCAATTATCTCGCAAAGCGTCAAACACCCGTCATACCTTTACACCTTATACTCCCAACTTAGCCCCAGCGGGATTTACGGCTTCCAAAACTTGTACTAACGTTGGAAGGACCTCGTGGCTAAACCCCAGAGGGGATCCAGGACAACGTGATGTATACATGCGCGCCATTAAATATAGTGCTTTGCAGGAAACTTTCCAAATTGGAGACGACTTGAGGGACAGTGAACTGCCAGTAGACGGGTTCAATTTGAAGTTAATATTGCTTGAAATTTTATGCAATGCGCGATAAGGACACTAAAGAAAAGAAGTGCCAGTTTCTTTTTAAACAAGCAAACATATATACACAAGTTTTAGCAACGGAGGACTTTCGGTGAGACATCATGTACGCTTAGAAATCCGTGAAAATATTTGTAGATCGGGAGGCGGATGAGGGTATGCGGGTGTTCTCCGAGCTGGTTGATTTGGTTGCAGATGTTTCATCGTCAGGTTAGATAACATCATCAGTGCGATTTATGCGAGCCACTTGCAGATCCAATTGATAATTGATCACTTGTTTCGAACGTCGGGAGTCTACTGGTCCATGTGAGCTGACCGTGTAGTCAACTCTTGCGTACTATAAGCTAGAGTCTGCCTTAAGGATGTTCCTTTGTCCCTTTGGTCTGGGGCGTGATTGTTTTAACCCTCAGTGCTTCATAGGCTGTATCAAGATCTAAGTGTCGGTTGATTGCGCGAGTTCCCGAGTACCAAGCCTAGATAAACTCGCGTGCTTTTCGTGTTTTACCCTGCCTATGATCCTGACATTCTCCAAATCAAACTGATGATTCTCGGCGTCCATATGTACGGACACCAGGGAGTTCTGGTCATGTCGGCCGATGGCTAGGCTATGCTCATGTAGCCTAGTGCCAAGCTTTCTTCCTGTCTGGCTCACATAGTATTTGTTGCAATTTTTGCCATGGATTTTGTAAACCACACCACATCACACTTTAGCATTGCACTACAATCATGGACACAAAGGGCATTCGAATTGAACCTTTTTACACCACCTAATGATTTTGAATAGACACTCTCCTAGAGAGTAACAATTATAGCATTACAATTCATGCCTAAAACATATTGATAGGGACGCAAAAGTCAGGTGCACTCGATTATATTTAAACTTAACCTGCAAAGCGCAATGAACGTGTTGCATTTACAAGGCTAAAAGAACTACCAACGTCATAGATTTACACCTGATGGTACGCTGCTAATCACATGTTTTCATTTTTTAGTTCAGCGTTTATGAAACGGATCACAAGTATTCTCACCCCATTTACTATGAAATTGTCGCAGGAGCCGCAATGGAAATTACTGTTACCGTAAAGAAGCTCAAACCACAGTATTCAATTACACGTGTGTCTCCAGTGGTACTTGTATATTCTAATCAGTCACTGGATGACGATGACGACTTTGTTGTTCGTTCAGGTTATCCGTATGGGGTACCTGATGGATCAGTTGGAGGTCCAATGGTATGTTTTACATCTTCTAATCTGTACCACAGTTTTAAGTAACAGTACTGCTAACGGACTAGAAAAGTCGCTGCACTCTAATCATTTTAATTCACGTTACAGAAACCTAAGTATTTACTGTCTAATATTTAGCGTGACAGCAATCAACTAGTCTTTTGCTATATTACCACAAGCTTGAAGAAACAGATAGGTAAAATCCACTTCCGGGCTTTATATTACCGTGATTTTGACTAAGCACATGTTTCTGTCACTAACGGAGCAACCACGAAAAGTTTATTGTGCACTGGTTTGGACCTCATCAACTGCAATGCATTTTCATAGCAAACCAAAGCAATAGGATAGGAATTCTTACAGGCTGAATACAGCCGGATCAACTTTTTTTCCAGTCATCAGAAATTTGCACTCACCATTCAGTCATGATGGTGTCAGTAACCTTTAGAGGTAAAGTTTGATACAGCAGGTACAGCGGTTTTGCAATAATCCCATTCGCGCATGGTGTCTTTTTTAATTCACTTACTCAAGTGGATACATCAAAACGCGATAAATAGGTCGTGATCCATTTTAGCGAAAAATTTCTTAAAGTACCTAGAATAATGGATGAAATTTACGTTTATTTCTCTTCAGGAAAATTTAAAAGGAAGATTTAATTGAAGATCGGGAAGACGTACTTCGACATTTAGTCGCATTGTCTAAATTCATATTGTGCGCGTTCGGGCTGAACACTCTAAATGAAGAAGCACGGAATTCATGTGATCATTAAATATTAAAATTTCAAGCTGATGAACGAAATTTTGCGTGTAACCCCCCGGTAGCTGAAATGTAAAGAATGGTATGCCAAGCATATTTATCGACTTCGACTTTTCTAATGCTCAGCAGATTGACAAGAATTCCGTGTTGCTTCCTCTGATAGTGTTGGCGAATTACTAGTCCCGTTCATCTAAGATGTACCGTATAAACTGAGTAGCCACAAAGCGCGATATCAAAGGCCTAATATTTGCTTTTCACACTATCATTATTTCATAACTCTTAACTGTTCTTAGTTTCAGCAAAAGCAATGCGCTCACTTGTGTTGGGATAAAATATTCTCTAATCCGCTGCAGTAAACACATGTCGTTTTTCTCTTGTCTTTACCATTTATGGGTATGAGTAGCAATCCAGTTCCGTGTGACAATGTTCTACGTCGGGATAAGTCATTGCAGTAGCTTAGAACTATAAAATAGAAGATAATTTTTACACCCTTCCAACACGATTTTCCCGTTTGACTTGCGATTCCTTGTGAATCATTGCAAAAGCCCTAATTGTCTGCAACTAAATCTATTCTTAATCGTATTGCACAAACACGTAGACCTAACTTGACGTTTGACTGGTTGGGTAAGGAAAATCAAACCTCTATCGGTGCCATATACTTATCTAAACAACTTTCAGTTATACACATACTCATAGTCCAATTCACTTTGCACTCAGTCCTTATATGAGATTCTATGGTCCAATCCAAATCACTCATTCAAATTTTTTCCGTGTAATGCAGGGACCGGTTGTGAATTCCCGAAATAGCCACAGTTAACAGGACATTGTAGGCTCCGCAACAATATTTACAAAATACCAGAGCGTTCATAGCCGTAAATTTGTCTATGAACACGAGTAAATTGCTAATACACAATGCCAATTTTCCTATCCTCCAGTTAGCAGTGGGTTGACATCGCGCGACTATGCCTGCAGGTATCTGTCATCTTCTTTAACTGTCTTCCAGGCTAGATATTATTCAAACTAAATTGTAATCAAATACCAAGCGTATGCTATAAGTTCGCCTACCTGGTTGAGGTAATAGCACTTCTCAATTACTTAGTTTTGTAGTCAGAAAGATTTTTATGGGTCGACATAAAAGCTCACCGTAAATCGACATCTGCGAACACGCTTTTAATTTCGGAGACCCTCAGCTTCTTGTATACCAACACACAAGATCTTCTCATTAACCCTACTTCCTACTTGTCAGCTATAGAGACATTGCGACTTAGTCATGCTAACCGAAAAATGACTGAATACTGAGATAACAAATGCTGAAATAGCTCTAGCCGGCATGATTCCCTTAAGAAAAGACCTACGCTGCATAGGTGACGCTGTTCTCCAATAGTACAGATCTGTTCTATTTATTGCTATTCTCGACAATACAGCTACGAAACTTGTCGATTCTTCTTGGTCCCATCTGCATCTGAGAAGTGCTGACGTGTGTTGAATCGCAAACGTTTACCGCCATCCCATGTCCACCCTGGAAATGGATCACTGCCTAGCTTCTGCTATGAAGCGATACTTGGCAGGGTCACAAATTCATGTTCATCCGGGACTTTATCTTGTACGTAACAGTAGTCACTGCCTAAATCGACGAACAATGCAAGACCGAGTAGTAACAAGTAATTGGTGAATTACCGCTATACAAACATGTCACCTAGCCCATGCTATTCAGAATGGACGACGAACCAAATATTGTAAACCTTATGCTCACCAACGTGGATCAGGTGATCGACGCTTAACCATGGGTGCACCTCTTGGCCGTAGCGACCCCGCCACGATTTGGAACTGATCAATTAAGAAAGCCTTATTAGTCAATGTGGCCAAATGTCGCGTTGAGAAATTTCCCAGTGGGCCTGAGTACGTGCCGCGGGATTATTTCAACTACACCACCAACGCAGGCTGCAGTGCTGGGCGTTTATGACGGTGAATGACTGCGTGTGCGGGAGGAACCAACAAGGGAATTCGTCTGACAAGCTCAAACTAAGCTTCTCGTGTCCTCTTGCCTCTCATTCACAAGATTATCCTGAGAGGCCATCAGATCAAACTTTCCATGCACTATAGTCCAATTGATGGCCGACAAAACATTTTCTCCTTTCGGGTGTTCCTAAAAAGGAACGTCCTTCTAACACACTTACTTTTACCGTAACAATAATAGCTTTCAAAAAGCGCCTTAACGACACATTATACCTTTTGCGTTACGTAGTATAGCTCGTTTCACACGAAAAACTAAATGCCTCGAACTAAACTATGTACGCACTAGCTCTCTTTGCGACATTACTGTTGGAAAACCATCGGCGTTCATGTGAATAACTTTCTGAGTCACTAAGAACCCGTTTTTGGTTTCCATGTTATTTTTACCGATTATTTTTAACCCAACCAGGCATGCTAAGAGATTGTCAGGCACTCGCTATTTTACTCGTTAAAATTCATTGTTCACAGTTGTTTCAGCCACTGAAATACTGCCTCAGTGCAGGTCATATATGACAAACGCATTTAATTAAACTTTATTACTAGTTAAATGCAACTAGATCCTAACTGCACAGAAGAAATTCAGAAATCGGTCTGGGGTCAATTTTATAACCGTCACTGTACTCTTAACCGCATAAATGCTATAAACGTGGACCTTGATACACTGCTACAATGAGGGTAAGCGCCAGCTGCATCGAGGTCTGTCTGTAATGCATTTCCAAGTATAATCTGCGTTTGCAAAATTGCCCATTGGTTCTTTTTAGTTGGCGACAGTTGTCCTGAGCTACTGTGAGCTGTATATTTGCCTGTAGTTAGGGGTAAAAATAAACATCGACTAAAATTAATAATACTGAAAAGAATTAACCGCGTGAAGCTTCTGTTCAGTGTACGTTAGTCTTGTTTCCTAAAGCGCTGGTTAACTGTGTCCAATAACTGTGTTGGATCAATGTGTTCCTCTTGACACTTTGAATTAATCACATTGGAAATGAAACTGAGCGCCCGTCATACATTGTAACCCTCTACTTTTGTATCCTACAACGGCGTTAATTTTGGCGTAGAAGCCCACATTCACGCCAAGCACCATGCACAGTAAGGTATGAGTCAATGAACACCGCTTTCAAAGCCCTTTGAGTTGGCTGGTGAAGTTTTCGAAAAGTTAAGGATAGAATTTACTTAATGCTTTTACTGATAAAGCATGGATTGCCGGTTTATGTGATTTGATACGGTGTTTCCACACCGAACTTAGATTCATAGTACCAGTGGTTGGCAGGTGGTGAATCCAAGGTTTTCCCCGAACGAAAACCGAATGATAATGTTGTGCGTGGTTGCACGAACCTTGCAAATACCTTTTAAATATGATTACTATCGTTGTGACAACGATGGATACAGAAAGTAGCTTATAGTCTTCGAAATTTTGTAACAAGCATATAGATGGGTTTTGTGAAAGAACTAGCTTATATGTTAATTACGATCTGACACTGTTGGTACCATAACGTCTAAACGCAAACCAAAACCCAGATTTTGGGAAGACTTTTCCATCAGGTTCCGTTATTCCGATGCTTGTTCGATCCTTAGTCACTGCCCAAAGTCCTTTATATTTGAGCTCTATTAATTTGAAGTTAATTTTTGGCTAAGCAAGCACCACCGCTGTTGAGATAACCGATTGTGAGAATTCTATACATGCTGAGTCCAGGTACCCATTCAATTTTTCTCAAGTGAGTGCAGTAAACTGAAATACTTCCACACAACTTTTTACCTCATAGGTATGGCAGCCTAATGTACTTTCGATTAACATGGGTCTACTTTCTTGTGTGTATCACCAAGACAATAGCATTACCTGCTTTCGAATTACAAATACCTAGTCAAGAGCTCTCGCGCAGCCAGCTCACCATCTGCGTAAAATATCCTAGGACCATTACATATTAATCAACTTCAAGATAAATATATGCTGATTATTCGGACGCGACTTTGTGTAGTGAATTTTGGACGATCGCTAGTTCTTTCAGTCCAAAAGCAAATGAAGTCCATAAGTGTTCGCTTCAATTAGGCAAACGTGAATACCAGGTACAAATTTAGCACTCTGACACGTTACTAACAGACTCTCCCCAGCTTATGATGTATGAGCCAGATATTAAGAAAGTGGTAGTCTGCATTTCAAAAGAAATTGAGACAATGTTTGCATTTTCCTTATGATAATCATGGCGTCAAGTTCGCTTGCCTAAAAATCCCACTTTCTCGACCAAATTTCTGATCAAAAATAAGCTATTGCTTACCCACTGACACTCGTTTGGACAAATTGCTTTAAAACCAAGTGAATGAAATAAATAAACTCGCCAAAATTTAATTTCTTCTCAGTCTTCGTATTTAATCTTAACGGAGAGGGTACGAGCTGGTCGAGTTGACGATGGAGGACCGCCCGCGTTCATTCACTTCCCTCCTGTCAGCACTGTCAGTGTGCAACCCCATCGCGACGTGACGAACTACTATCGGTCTGCAAGTTTGGGGCCCCGGAAGTTGATTGTGCATAAGGGAAGAGCACACAAATTTTCCTACAGTATTGCTTACGCGTACTATGGCAACCGGTTTAATCAAATCCATCAGGGCTCACACGTTGGCTATGTGGGTGCGCGAAAGCAGTTCATCAACCTGGGAAACCCTGGCGACGGTTTTTACGAAGCGACCAACTATATTTCTTGGTAAGTTTTACCCATTTCGTTTGCATTAATTTTGTTCTGCAGCTTAATCTCATAAGATATTTCCTCAATACTTTGCTTCGTCATCTAACGTAACTATAAGAAGGGAGGAAATAAATGTAGACACACATATGTGGTTAGCGTGAAACTGCATTCTTAGCACGTTCCTCGAGTTTTGAGCGGTTCGTTTTCTATGTTCCACAAGCACGAGGCATATTCCTATAGTCAATACTGCAAACAGATACCTCTTTATCCCAATCGCTCGCTAAATATTTGGAGTACAACTTGGTACAGGTATAGAAGACAACAGTAAGTAATCCTTGTATGATAGACTGGAGGATTCGCACATGATCAGGATTAACATGTAGCAAATTATCAAATCGCTGACCGAATTACCGATAAAAATCGGATTCCGTCTTCACGGGATGGCTGATGATTGCACAACTTGCGGACATTATGCTTTCTCCTCATAATCATGGACATTATCAAATAATCTACAGAGTCTGATACATCGTCTATGCGCTTGTTAGCTTACGCTCAAGTGGATACGGGATCGGCGTAAGTTGAGAAAGCGTATCACAGCTGAGCACTACTTCTGGAAAAATTCCGGCGGCATTCATGCGGTGATACTGCGGTGATAAATTTAGCTGGTGACCACAACCGGTGGTTTAATAGTCGGTTTTCAAGAAATTATAAAAACCAGACGAGGGTGCTTCAGTAGCTGAAGTCATTGTGAGTTCGTTCCTCAAAGTATTTATCTTTTGTTGAACGCTCCGATGGCCTTCAGCCTGAGTTTGCAAGGGAGTTGGAACATGGTGTAAAACTTCCCTGTTGCTATTCGTTAAAGTGTCTCCAACAAATCCATATTCTCTACACGAGGACAACGCCAAAGCTGAATGATGTATTCCAAGTGAGGCATCGTTTGTGTTAAGCGTTGTATCCCTGTAAGCATACCAGACCTCAAGCCAAAATATAACAGAGCTTACCAACTGATAAGAACCGCTTATTCACACAACTGCTTGGTTGAAGGAAACATAAATCGTATGATCGTCAGCATTCAACGGGCTCGTATGCGTCGAATCCGTTGCAGGCTATACACTCATGCACTTGTGCACGTCAAGCGCAGATTCTCAAGACTGAACCTATACTCACTAGGCTGATGTGAAGTGATGGAGCGGTCAACGCGACGTTACGTTCTTTGCAAGAGACCATGACTACATCTTCCAAGTTGTGAACAAAAGGGTTATTTCGAATAGCGTAACTTCTCCTGATCCGCTGTCATAATGTGGACCGTGAAATAGGTAAACTCAGTAATCCAGTTCTTCGATGACACTTCTGGATACAATGCATTTTTCGAATTAAACTGACAAGGATTTTACCTAGAAATTCTTAGCTAATGCCTAGGTCTGTTTAAAGCAAGTTATGCCATTTCATACACAAGCTCGACTGTGTACTCATCACGCGAAAACCACAAGTGGACAAGCTTGATGAACATTTTGAGCTGTAAGTTGTGGTCGATTAAATTGGTGGATATCGACGATTTGTGACATCTTAACTGACATGGTGCATTAGTGCGTGTAAAACCACAGTAAATGTTTACAGTACCGACTTGAGAACATGTCAGTGAGGAATTATTTACTACGGTTGACACGATGTTTAATGAACTTAGGTTATCAGTTGTCACGAATTCGTCCGTGTACTCTAATGAACCAATTTGAGGAGTCCGTTTGTTACTAGTGTAGGGGAATCAGTTGGAATAAAGTTCGAAGGAGATTCATCACGGAAAGTTCAGCGTACATCTAGGCGGTAGCAGCTACGATGAATCTCCAATTAATTTTGCAACGATTCAAGTGCAACTGAATGCATCTCCAGACACATTGTGAATCAGTAACTGTCCCCTTCGTTCAAGTAATCACCGGCAAATCCTTACAAAACTTGTGAACCAGAACAGCTTAACTAAATAAACAATCTCTCCGTTATAGGCTAACAACTAATAAAATTGGCAAAACTGACCATCTAAAACCGTTAGCATTTTATTCTGTTTTATTGTGCTTCCCACTCCTATAAATACTTACTTGCTTGCTTACATGTCATGTACCTGGGTGCCTGGGTTCCTAATGTTGACGGCTGAGTGTGGGATCCTGTGTCTATTTCCAGGAGCTGCGTCCTTAGTCTTGGAAGCCCACACCTAAAGCCATCGGACTCCGGTACCAACGCACATATGTGGGCAGGCTTACTGATAATCGGAACACTACTTGTGGGTTCAATTACCGCGGTAGCTGTTTGGTACCGCCGTCGCTATATTCATTGGTCCACACCAGACTGCGAAACCGAGCAACGCAATCTCCCCATTGTGCGTACGTTCCGCGCTACATTTGTGCGCAAAACGACGGATCAAACGAGTGCGCGAAGGGAGGACAGCCTACTCATTGAACCGCTGCTTTCCACCTCACTCGACTCATACAACTCCACACAGTATTCGGAATTTCTTTGATTAACGCAGAGCCTAGTCCGATTTTGATACTTTTCCGGTGATTTTTTGTTCTGGATTTCTAGTACAACTCCTTCTTTCACTTAGATAAAGAATTCTTCGATTCATAACTCCAGAGTGCCACGACCGTAATCAGCATTTACCTTCTGCTGTAAATCTCCATGCTAGTTGGTTTATTTTTAAAATTCCGGTAATCCCGTAAGTCTTAAATCGGGTCCCAGTGATCGAAATGAATCCCTAATCGTGTAAAGCGCATGGTAGACGCGCGGTCTAGTGTGGGAATACTGTTGAAGAAACGGTGAGATACACTTACCAGCCACTTTAATGAGAGTATGCTCACCAGCATGCAGGATTCCATAAAATGCAAACCAGTGCAGCGGGAAACTAATACAATCGGTGTCATATATCCTTAGGTTGAGTTTACCGGCAAAACAATGGGCAATCGTGTACTGTTCTAAAAGGCGACGTATATCAGAATTCCCAACATTATTTTTAAACAGCAGAAAGTATATATGCATTTGGTACGTGAATTCCCTCGGTGCTGGATCTTTCTTGAACACGTCAAAAAATTGAACCTGTTCCGCCGAATGTTGAGTAAGATGTAAAAACCAGGAAGACATGTAAGTTATTGATCCATTACGCTGAATATATGGTCAGGTGCGTCACAGTTTCCAGCTGAAGTATAACAAAAAGCCATACGGCTTTCTGACATGTTGCAGACCCGCTGAGCTTGTGTGGACATCTGTTGGCTGTCATGGCAGTCCATGTCTTGATTTATGCAAAGTTAGGAGTCAATAACTCAGTTTAGAATATGGAGTAATTTTCTAGTATGAAGAACCCATTAATTGGGTATATAGTAAGAATAGGACAATCAAAAGATCAGCTGTTTCAACGTTGGTTAATGTGAAAGTAATACTGGCTTTGTATTTCTGTACCGGTAGGTTCAGAGTAAGCTAAAATGGCTGAACACAAAAGTGCATTTATTGTATTATTAGGAATGTGTTTGACAAGTTGGAGGGGAAATGTATTTTGGACTGTACATATTGTGTTCACTGGAGAGTACCACTAGAATCGATCGGGTTTTCGCTCCCATGACTAACCCTCGCACATATGGATGTTTAAGCCTCCCGTTACTGAGATAGTGTTGAGGAAACACGAAGCTGTACTTCCCACCTATTTGTTCTACATAACTTTCAAAGCGGAACGCAGTTCGATTGCATCAAGGTTCGTTCAGCATAAGTGTCCGTGTCTCCATTTGGGCAGAATTGCTTTGCAACTTCGTCAAACAGGAAACTCGGTAGATCGCGTTTAATCTTAACTTGCCCGGAAATTCAGCCGGACGGATGGATTACTTTTAACTGGTCATCCTTCATGCCAGGTTTAATGGGACATAAATTAAGATGATCTCCAAAGATTGATCACACCTAGTTTAATTTAAATCACTTTGTATAACATTTCGTTCGGTAGATTCCGCTACGCATCTTCACCAGCCATAAGTATTTGCCAGCTTACGTACCTGAAATTTGTTGTTACTATTAAGGTACCCATAAGTCAATACAATGTTGTCAATTGGTGTATTTAATAGTGGGTCACCTGCTAATGCAATTAAGTAAGTCTGTATATCGGGGATAAACGCGAGTAGGCTAATAAGACGGTTCGGCAACCTAAATTGTGACGAGAAATATGTCAATGTCTTAGAGAGGCCTAACACAGTGCAAGGGTAAGAATATAAAGGGAAGACAGGCCGCAGCATTTCAAGGAAGAGAAACAGCATTTCTGTATATATGTGCAACAATCCTCCGGTACGGGTTTAGGACTCCTCCGTATACGGTGCCAGGACTAGCACGCAATAAACCTGAAATGCAATGGAAAGCAAAGAAAAGGTAGATGGCCGGAAGTCAAAAGTCAACCAACTAACAATAGCTAATAGCGACCAATAATAATATCGGGCGCCTGCTGACAAGCTGACATCAGGTGGTGGCCGAGAAGCCGGGAGCAACCGATTAATAAAGAACAACTGTTTATCAGGAGTAAAAATGGATGTGCCTGTCAAATCCAGTAGGATGGTTGAGATGAAAATTGAACTTGTAAGGATCAAAAAGTAAGTTAAGAGTCATTTTAAGCGTCTACCGATTTAACTGCACTGCTGCATAAAGATCGTTTGCAATAACAATGTAATGTGCATACACAAAATGTTTTGTGGGGTAGTTGTAGTTCACGTTTCCCATGAGAAACAAAGTACGGAAATGACAACGCCTACCCGGATGCCGTTCCATTTGACCGATGTAAATCGTTAGTCCAGTTTAGCAACATCCAGGCTATTCCCAAGGACAGCTCTGCATGTATCCTTACCGCCACGTGTCAGAGAAGGCAAATGAGCACCTAGTTTGGTTCGAGTTCTTTCGTCCTCCAAGTGAATTGGACTATAACAAGTGGTGTAATTAAGAATGTGGGTCATCAATGCATATTTTTGAGAAGCGTTACTGTAGGGGCAATAATAACGTGAGTTGGAAGGACGTTTTGGGTTCGGACACCCGGAGGGAGAAGTCACTTTGTCGGTAACCATTTCGACTGTAGTGCATAGTCAGTTTGTTCTGGTTGCCCCTCACTTTCGTGTTTCGGCTCAGGAGCAACAGTTTGTGACAAGGGAGATTTGGTTTGTTAGTCTTAAGTAAACTATGACTAAACCTCCTCGCTGATGTCAATATTCACAACTATACAATCTCACGGCCTGCAGTCTGCGCTGGTAGGGGAAACAAGCGTCTAACAAGCTTTCTTACTCTACGTTGGGGAGCTCCAAGTGCATCGACGCTGCGCTTGCGTCAGGGGCGCTAGGCCTGGATAGCCTATTCCACGTAAGGCCTCACGAAGGCGTTCAGCATTTGCGAAAAGACTGATGGCTCGAAAGTGCCGAAAGCCCTCCGTTAGAAACCGAGATGCTAACTGGTTCATTTTGAGGCCACTTCAGCCTGTCTCGAGCAGCCAAGTTCATCTTGCACGATCACCCTTAGGTCACGTTCCCGGGAAGCACGTTCTAACTGCTGGTCCCCTAGTAGAATTTTCTTGGTAAGCTGATGGCGTAGGCTTACAACTTTGCATTTCGTAACTTTGTGCTAGAGCCGTGTTTCGGATGACTACTATAAGCCCTGTCAAGTGCTCTGTGTTGCTGTGTGATTTCCACTGTCAGTATTTTATGCCGATTATGACATCATCTGCAAATAGCAATAGTTCGACTGCGGTACACTCGCAAGGTCGTAAATAAATACTGGAATAAACGTGGCTGCAGTATTGGTGCCTGGAAGTGCATTGGGTCAGAAATGAAGCTGCCTACAGTCACATCCGGCAGACTTTGAACGAAGAAATTGATAATCTAACCGAACACAGGGTTACCGTATGCATTATTTCGAAGCATGCGAAACTGAATGCGTTGGTCCAAGCTATCTAACACTTGAGAGAAATCCAGATAGACGACGTCACCTACTCTGGCATCGATTGATTCTGTCCAGCCTGCTAGGGTTATCAGCAAGCTTGTATTGTAAGACCAAATTCGGCGGAATCCGTGTTGCCGTGACATTATGATGTTGTTGCTGTCAAGGTGTCCCATGTTGACCCCTGCTATTATACCTTCCAATTTTTGGAGAACACTGGGAGGAGAGTGATTGGACAGTAGTTCGGGGCACCGCGACATTCACACTCTTGCAAATACGTGTGATTATTCCATGTTTCCATGTTGTGAGAACCTGAATTTCCTCAAGCCTTCGTTGAAAGAACCGGGGTATTGGTTCTATATGTTCATGGCGGCTGTCTCAGGTGACTTTTGTATGATGTCGTTTACGCCACGAGAGCTGTACGCGCGCATGAACGATAGTCATTTCATCAATTGGTTACCGTGGACAACAAGTGGTTTAACCCTGGTGTCGATGAGAGCTGTGTCAAAAGCAGATGAAATGATAATTCGCTCTGGAAACTGTGGATGAAGTGTTGGCAAAGCACTTTGGCCGCGTCTTGTGTAGTTTGCACCAGACCAATGGTTGCACGTACAACCGGCGTTCCGAGCTGCGCTCCGCGACGTATGGTGTCTAGTCTGCACAGCAGTTTTGGATTTGCACCGGATTTCGTAGCAAAGTTCTATTGTTGTTGGAGTTGGTCTTCCAGGAGCAACTTAACGCAGTGATTTCCTTGGGTTGTGTAAGCATTGCATGTCTTAGTACTTGGACTGACCATGTATTCTACAGTGCAACTCCTCAGGACGGACTTCATTTGCTTTGAATAAAAGAACTTGTTTTCTTACGCATGTGACACTAGCCCGTGGGACAGATGCTCCGCAGGGTAGGACCAGTCGGTTTCTTGCACCAGGCTGGCCAGGTATCGTATTGAGTGAAGAGGTAAGTTTTGTCCTTGTTCTCACTGCTGTACTGCGCGTAGCAGATATAACAAACAAGCAACATCGCATAATCTTTAAGGCCAGTTGGTGCAATGGATGTCACGGTATCGGCCATTCGTTTTTCCTTGTTGAGCACATGCTCCACAACAGATGTCGCCGGTTCCGAGCACCTCAGAAATGGTTGCACAGAGGTACATTGGCGATTAACTCTTCGGAATCAGCCTCTACTTGTTCACTGTGCAATGCCGGGACTTCGATTGCATGAAGGTTAAAGCCCCACATCAGAAAGACGACTATGTGGTTGTGCCAGGACTCGATTCGCAGCAGAAGCTGGGAGGTGATCCATTTGTAAGGTAGACATTAGAGGGCGGTAAACTATGGCTAGTACAGTGAAGGACAATGAAAAATTATTAACGTTGGGCTAAAGAGAAGTTGCTTGACAAATCCCGCAGGGTGATAGGGGTAAACCTACAATTATCAAACGATAGATAGGTTGTCCGTTTGAGCGTTTGTCTAGCAGATGCGCTGCTGAATAATAGTAGTGTAAGTGGGGAATGAATGCAAACGGCGGGGCAATATGGAGCAGTTATAGCTGTTGTAGTCCGTGAGAAGACTAAAA